CACCCGGCCCGATTTTCTGCACCGACCCGATATCGATCGAGTTCTCGCTTGGTCCAAACAGATCCACGCCTGACCCAAATTACACTAGACGGATTTTCTTGGCCCATATCCTGGCAGCCCAAATTCTATTTTCAAAGGCTCGAATTCATTTGGCCCAAAACAAAAAATACAGTGCCAGATTTGTTTAAAAATGGCCACTCTGCAGCCCAGTGCTGGCATAGATTAAATCCCAGTTTTCCGCTCAAGCTAATTTCACTGTTCACAGTCCAACTCAAGGAAATTACTCAGATTCTCAAATCACTGATGATTGGTTTCTGGATTCTGGAGCAACTCATCATCTTACATCTTCTATGGAAAATTTAAATATTGCTTCGCCATATAAAAGTAGTTCACAAGTCATAGTGGGAGACGGTAAATTCATTCCTATTTGTCACGTTGGTTCTAAATTTCTTCCTTCTTCTACTAAACCATTATTTCTCAAACAAATTCTTTATACACCTCACATTTCTAAAAATCTTGTTAGTATTTCATAGTTATGTTCTGACAATAATGTTACTGTTGAATTTGACTCTAATTCTTTTGTTATTAAGGATCAACAAACTCATCGACAAACTCTCAAAAGGACATATGATCATGGTCTCTACAAGTTGACTTGTCCATCTTTTTCAGCCTCTACTTCAGGCAATCCTTTTAACCTCATTACTTCAGCACCATAGTCTCCATCTTTTTTTTCTGTACTTTGTCATAATTCTGTTTAAAATAATGTTTGGCATGCTAAACTATGACATCCTAATTATGATATTTTGATCAATGTTGCTAATTTTTGTAATCTTACAAATTTTAATAGTAATGTCACATCTTTTTGTCAAGCTTGTTTAAAAGCTAAACATCAGCGCCTACCTTTTTCTCCCTTTCAACATCGTACATCTTAATTATTTGAACTTATTAATACTGACCTATGGAATCCAGCCCCAATTCAAGCTATTGCTGAAGCTAAATACTTTCTTATGTTCACAGATGATTACTCTAGATTTACTTGAATTTACTTTCTTCATACTAAAAGTCAAACATTCTCTTTGTTCAAATCTTTTCTTTCTATGGTCAAAACTCAGTATTCTGCTACTATTAAACGAATTAGATCTGACTGAGGTGGTGAATTTCGTCCTCTACATAACTTTCTATCTTCTCTTGGCATACACCATGAAATTTCATGTCCTTATACTTCTCAACAAAATGGACGAGTGGAACATAAAAATCATCATATTTTTGAAGTTGGTCTTTCCTTGTTATTCCGTGCCCATGTTCCTACATCTTTTTGGCCTTATGTTTTTTATGAAGCAACTACCATTATTAACCATTTACCTTGTCGTCCTCTTCAATATCAAATACCCATTCAACTTCTTCGTAACAAACCTCCTAATTACACTTCATTTCGTATATTTGGATGTTCTTGTTTTCCATTACTCAAACCATATAATTCTCATAAATTCTAACCCAAAACTACACAATGCATCTATTTGGGACATAGTGCATACCACAGAGGCTATATTTACTTTGACAGGTTTTCTGGATGAGCATATGTATCTTGAGATGTTATCTTCGACGAGTCCACATTTCTTTTTATTAATTCTCAACTGCCTTCTTCTCAATCCACTTGGTTTATTCTTTCTTCTATTATGTCATCTTTTCCTAATAATCCTTATTTGTCTTTTCCACATACCCTTTCTTCTTCATCTCTATTGTCCTCTCTTAATCCTCTTTCACAAGGTTTACTTCCAAACCGTGACAATATGTCTCCTATCAATCTTTCCTTATAACATAGAAATACTACCACAAATAACCATCCTATGGTGACACGATCCAAATCTGGTATTTCTAAACCAAAAGTTTACCATGCAATTTTCGTGGAACCTACCAATGTTACAGAAGCAAAATCTCATCCACAATGGTTAAATGCTATGCATAGTGATTTAAATGCTCTACACAAGAATAATACTTGGGTTCTTGTTCCCAAACCTTCATCTCAAAAGATAATTGGTTGTAAATGGGTTTTCAAAGTCAAACTTAAATCAGATGGATCCTTGGGAAGATACAAAGCTAGACTTGTGGCAAAATGATTTCATCAAACTCCCGACATTGATTATACTGAAACGTTTAGTCCCGTTGTTAAGCCTACAACTATTTGGATTGTTCTCTCTGTTGCTCATTCTCATCGTTGGCCTATCAAACAATTGGATGTTCACAATACTTTTCTTAATGGTGATCTTATTGAAATTGTTTATATGACTCAACCTCCTAGTTTTGAGGATCCCCAGTTTCTAAATCATGTATGCAAACTTCAAAAGGCTTTGTATGGCTTTAAACAAAGTCCAAGAGTGTGGTATACCAAATTGAGCATTTGTCTTCTTTACTAGGGTTTTACAAATTTCAAGTTTGATTCATCCATGTTTTATCGCTGACACTTTGGCCATCTCACTATTGTCTTAGTTTATGTGGATGATATTCTAATTACAGGGTCAGATTATACTTTCATTCAACAGCTTTTGCTATAACTTAATAAATCTTTTTCTTTAAAAGATTTGGGCGAAGTTTCCTATTTTTTAGGTATTCAAATTATAAGAACAAATACTGCTATACATTTTTGTCACGAGAAATATATTAATGATCTTTTACATAGAGCTGGTATGTTAGATTGCAATCCTGTTTCTACACCAATGGCCTCAAATACTCAATTATTTCTTTATGACGATAAGCCACTTACAAGTCCTACTACTTACAGAAGTCTTGTTGGGGCTTTACAATACTGTACTATTACCAGATCAGATATCAGCTTTGTTGTTAATAAGACTTGCCAGTTCTTACATGCTCCTACAACCACTCATTTACAAGCTCTTAAAACGAATTCTTAGACACCTTCAAGGCATTCAATCTTTTGGAATTACTTTTTCTATTAATCCAACTCTATCTCTTACTGCCTATTCTGATGTTGATTGGGCAAGCTGCCCGAATGATAGAAAAAGTACAAGTGGATATTGCATTTTTCTTAGAAGTAATCTAATTTCTTGTGCCTTGAGTAAACAAAAAGTGGTTTCTCGCTCTAGCACTGAATCTGAGTATCGGGTTATTTCTAATGCTACTGCTGAAATTTCTTGGATAGAGTCTATCCTAAAGGAGCTCCATTTCTTTTATACTGTTCCTCATTTACTTTATTGTGATAATCTTAGCACTCTATACTTAACTGTCAATCTTGTTTTCCATGCTTGTACTAAGCATGTTGAGATTGACTATCATTTTATACGGGATAAAGTTGCTCAAGGCCTTCTTTAAATTCAACATATTCCTTCTACAGAACAAGTTGCTGATCTTCTTACTAAAGCCATTTCTACTCAGTTGTTTTTACAACATCAAAACAAGCTCACAGTTCTCCATCGACCTGTATGCTTGAGGCAGTATGATAGAACATAAAACAGAAGTAATTAACGGTTAAACAGTTAACAATTAGCTTAGTAATTAGTTATAATTAATTACATACAGTTGTATATAATTGTAACAATCTGACTCCTTTTCGTTATAAATAGAGGAGATCTGTACGTGATCTACTCAATTCATTTCTCAGCTGATTTACACCCCTACCTTAACTTGCTCTTCTAAGGGTTTAATTTAGTCAACTTCTCGACCAACGTGCTCTCTCAAAGAATTAGAATGTAAAAACCGAAAAACACCCGTGTTTACAAAGCTCTGTACCCCTCAACACCCTCCAGATATCCCACTTATCCTTTTTAAAAACTAAATTAATCTTCCAACACCAAATTCACCACAATACAACCAGAAAGAAAGAGTACTATCCTTCTACCTATCCATAACAGCAACCCAATTAACCTGACGCGGACTAGATAATCCAGAGGGTAAAGGCAGACCAACCTTTAACCAGATTTCACAGGAATAAATACAATCCTAGAATAACGAATAACACTCTTCCTTGGCCAAACGTCGAGATCAAGGAGCACAAATCTCTAAAACCACGATGTAGACCGAAAGCACGAATTTTGTTTAAATATTCCTCCTATTCAAAATAAAAAATAACATGAAGAAGAAGGAAATTAGTGCCATTCGTAATTGACTTTCATGTATGGAAGGGCAGAAAAGTTGCCAATAAAACCTATTCGATGGCGGCGACGAAGACAAGCAAGATTCGTGGCCAAAGGCACTCCAGTCCGGATAAAATAAAATTATGTTTTATTTAGCCTAGATCTAAGGATCAGTATGTCGGAGGCCTTTGGCCCATTACCAAGACTTGCGGCTCTTGTTGGGCCACAGCATGTCAGGTTGGTAACAGCAGCACTAATCTCATCCTGCACTTTCCTCAATCCGGATATAAATAAGTCCATGACCCCAAATATAAATAAAATAATAATTTCCTTCGTTCGTGCTAGAATCATTATCAATGAATTTGAATTTAAAATATGAACCACTGGGGGGCACATCAGTGGGAGCTTCATCGGCACAGAAGAATTTCCCTCTTTCTTCCAATAGGAAAACTGATTTGTTCGCACATTCTGCTATCCTAGAATTTCGAATTTCTCATTGATTTTCTATATACGCCAGAAATATTTATTTATTTATCAAAATTTTCTTCATGCTTCCATATGACACAACCCATAAAAAAGATCAATGATATTGGGTAAGATAGGGAATTGAAGTGGCAATACTTTACAACCTCCTCCTAATGAAGGCAGGCATACATCAACAAAATAGAATTGAACTGAGGAAACAAATCTATGGAAAATAAGCAGGTGCAGACTCAAATTAGGAAGTGTGAACTTCATTTCAGAGCTAAAATCGACCCTCTCGCACCTAGTCCTCAAACATAAAGACAAAAACGAATTCGTCTTCTTTTATCATCTTTCTTTCTCTTGTTTTTGGGAAAGGGGTAGTGTCTGCACCAGACAAAACTCATTACAACACCCAACCAAAAGTAAAGTTTAAAACAAAGCACCACCTCATTTCAGGCCATTACCCGGAGTTGAAATAGCAAGATCCGGCAAAGAAAAGCAATCCCCACCTATGAACCCGCCTTCTCCACTCTCCAGCTGCCATGCGTTCCCAACCACACCAGCACCATCGCTGCCCCGCCCACCGGCACCGCCACTTGCAGCACCATCCTCTCCTACCCCCGCAAAGCCCCAACCGGACTTTCCGAACCCAAAGCTCACATCCTCAAAACCGTGACCCAGGCCTAGCCCAAACCCACCAAGCGCCAGAAACCCCGGCGCCTGGGCTCCCAACAGAGAAGTAAAGCTCCCACACAAGTTCAGCCCAACCGGGCCGCCGTGGTCGCCAGCGGAGAGAGGAACGAGAATCGGCGCAGTGGCAGCAACGGAGGCGGTGGGCGTGACGGCGGCTGCGGCGGGGGCTACAGGGGCGGTGGTGCGGGAGCGCTTGGCGTTCTTTCGGCTGCCGCCGCCGATGGGGATGTCGCGGAGGGTGCCGCCGTGCGTCCAGTAGCGGCGGCAGGATTTGCAGAAGTGGCGGGGTTGAGAGAAGTTGTAGTTGTTGTAGTAGCAGAACTTGGTGTTGGTGGAGGCGCAGCGTGGGCAGGGAAGCTGCTCTGGCTCCTGTGCCGGGGCACCCACCTGATGGGGTCTTGTTGGCCGTCGGTCGGCGGAATCTGACTTCATATTGCTTCTTCTTTTCTGAAACTGCTTTTGATGTTCCCTGAGCAGACAAGTTTTTGATGGAGGTGGTAGCGGGGATGGAGAACAAGAAACAATGCAGGTGATGGGATGCTCCTCGGTTGTCTTCGGGGATGGAGTGCCGGGTTATATGGATGGGAGGAGAGAGACAGGGAGACGAGAGATATAGAGAGAGATTCTGTCTTTCGAAACAGGTTTCTGAGCACTGAGGCTAATATGCAAAGAGAGATCAGCTTTCGCAGAGTCTGTTGTCCGCGAGATTTTCAGTCGGCTCGAAAAGATTTTATTTTTTTTCAAGTTTGGAAAAGAACTTATTTAAGTTCATGATTTGGGACCTTTAGTAAGCTCCTAAAGGGCAGCCTGTTTGTTTGCCCATCCTCTGCTATCTACTCTCCGGAAATGTTAAGCATGTATAGGTTTATACTCTGTTTTTGCATTAAGTTTATAAATCGCTCGTCAACTCTACTCTAATGCCTATGTGATCTTGTGACATTTTTCATATTCAATTCCATCCCTCAACTTCTATTCATATAAAAATAACTAATATCCAAGGAGACATGATCTAACCTTAGTCAATGTGGCCGTCGGAAAGAGAAAATTTACCCCATCAAACTAATTTTAAATGGTAGGTAGACGAATATGATAAATATTTTTTTTGTTTAATTAATCATTTCATTACTGTTATTAAATATTTATATGTAATGCAATGAAAAGATGGGCATAGAAATTAGAATTTGGGATTTGGGTAGTGACACATAGAGGCAAGTGTTATCATGGGGTCACAGAGACAATGTGTGTGTGAGAGAGAGAGTAATGATACAGACAGAATGATAATACTGTCGGATAGCGTGATGGAAATAAACAATGACTGGCGACTTTTTGATTTTTTTTTTTATTGTTGGAATTTCAATTCAACGCCAATCCGGCATGGTCAAGTGCCCTCTGATTTCGGATGCGTCGTTTTCTCATCTTCTCTCTGTTCCTTCCTTCCTCAGTCTCTCAGATTCCCTTCCGTACTCTGTTCCTCTGCCGGATTTCCCGCTCGAAAACACCATCAATCAAGGCAACCCCACTCCCACCGTCCACGTGTTAAATGAAATGCCCATCTCACCGTTGATCGTCTCTAGGCTCGATTGCCGTAGCCTGCGACTGTTGAAGATCGACGGAGGCGTGCTCCTGCGTACTATCTGTAACAGCCGGTCAATAATATTCTCAGAACCTGATTGAGGACGGGGGATTTGAGGGGTGGTGGCAACCGACACCTGTCTGTCTAAATGGGTCCTTGTCTGCTCATTCTCGGGCACGCGCGGCTTCTCCAGGTCCTGTAGCTATCCTCTCTCTCTCTCCCTAAGTCGGGTTATGGCTCGCCCCCAGTCTGGTTGCGATTCCTTCTTATTCGTCTTTTTCGTACTCTCTTTCTCTCTCTGCGGGGTCTCCGTTGGAAGCTGCTTAATTTGCCGGTGATAAGTAGACAGTATGTCTGGGTTTTTTCACTTCTGATCTCCCATCTCTCCCCTTTGGCGTTTTCTCCCCAGGTGATTAACAGTCCCACGTTTTTGATTTGTGGTCTGCCATAGCAGTTTCTTTTGATTTTTCAAAGGCTATTATGACAACTGGGTGAGAGAATTCAAGTTGTCTCCACTTAACGGTGGACTATTATCATTCACGGAAGTCATCTTTGAGGAAAATTGACTCTCCTATCAAAATGCTTTATCAATTGTCAGTTACTCGGCTCCGTTTATTTATTTATTTTTTTAGAATAATAATTTTTTTCTTTTTCTAATTCAACCCAAAAAATTAATTATTCATAAACCAAGGAATATTAACCTCTTAATTATATAAAAAAGGCTTAAATTACTTCTAATAACAACAAGAACTGAATTATTCACAAGGCTGACAACCTGCTGCATGGCAGACGTAATTACGCATGAAGTCGTGTTAACAGTCTCCCAATATTTTTCTTTTTCCAAAAAAATAAAACTGGAAATTGTCCAATTGAGACGTCCCTCTCAACGCCAGGCCCAATGGCCAATCCCTGAAAGACGTACTGGGCTTCTTTGGGCCGGGTCAGGCGAGGCCTGCATGCTAAAAGGCTATCCGGCCCAGGCCCTCTTATTCTTAATTGTTTATTTTAAATAAATAAAAATATAAATAAGCAAGATTACCCTGCGTCTTTTTTTGGGACATGCATTACCCTACCTCTTTGGTCGGTGGAAATTAGAAATCACTAGGAGAATCTGACCCACGGAGTTATCATTGTCAATTAGACCAGATGACAAAATGGACATAGAAGATGAATTTTCCACATGTAATGGGCTTCCCGAGATACTTCGAAGACATATAATTCTTCAATCGGGACCAACTTTTACATATCAAGCCATTAATCATTAACATAATCCTTCTATAATCACTTTAAACTACACTTGGTGGATGCTCTAATCACATCACAAGCACCCACAAACAACAATAAAGAAACAAACAAGAGAAAAGAGCATGTTACAAACGGGGAACAAAACAAAAGAAATGATCCGAGGAAAGACAGACCAGCGAAACACCTCATCCAAAACCATAGTCAGAGATCTCGGAGTTGCCGGAGATTCATCGGAGAGACGTACTTGGGGTCCCCATGGAGCAGCTGCTTAGCGATGATGATATTGGCAGCCTCGCTTGGGTGGTAGGGGTCCCAGAACACGTGCTTGTCACGGTCCGAACAGATGCTCGACGTGGGTCCGCATGGTATGATTCCGGCAAATTGGCCCCCATTACCGCAGCAAGCTATACTCGCTGTCGTAAATCCTGCACAGTTTCAGCAGCGTTGACGTCGTTTAAACATTTACTTGAACCAATAAGTTCAGAACATTACCAAGCAAGGCTCTGAACAACAAGCTTTGAAACATAAAAACTGTAACCAAATAGCTCAGGAATCCATGCCTTAACTCAGAGATGCTCACCATATTTCTCATAGTTAGTGATGACTTCCAGGACCAGGGCGTACACATTTGCGTGGACAAAGGTGGCACGGGGAGATTATCGTTCAGCTCTGCTAACAAATCTTTCAACCTGGCGTTGTACTGGAGGGCCAGTTTGTTTGGCAACTCCACGCACTCGTCTTCTTTCAACCGGTTGATTGTTTTCTGATAGGGAATGCACCCAATGGGTCCAACATTTCCCACTACAAACTTCCTCGCATCTAGTTTATAAAGCCTCTGCCATAAAGTAAAGTTACAAAATCCCACAATATTAGCTACAGATTTACTTCAATTAAAAATTTAGAAAATGCAATGTATGACTGAGTTTAAATGCCTGCATAATTACCGTAAGTTGGTCTCTGAAGTGGTTAAGAAGATCGTCGATGAAAGCCTCTGGGGTCTGGGAAATCCTTGCTCCCATGGAGAGGACTGGAAGGAGATAGTTGTTGAGAAAATCGTTCGACCCGATTGTGATTGAGAAAATGGATTTCTTCATCAGATAGTCTCTTGCCTGCTTTGCCCCCAGCAATTTGTCGAATTGTTTCCTTGTAATATTAAAATAATCAACCTGGATATCCAATGAAAGCCTATTAACCTGCCTCCCCCAACCCCGGCCAAAAGAAAAAGAAAATTTTCATTAAATAAAACAGATAAACATGACAGAAAGTTTTTAAAAAAATTTAGAGTACTTACAAAAATTCTTCCAGTGGCATTCAGAATTCCGCCACCGCCGGAGGCATAGTTCACTCCGTATAAGATAGCTTTTCGGTGGAATTTGGAGCCAGAAATGGAACTGCATAATGTGGCTGGCCCAGTTCCTCCCCTGAAAATTTTGATAGAAAAAGAGAACTTCAGTGAAACTAGAATTTAAAGAAGAGCCTGCATGCATGCATGCAAGAGAGGGAAATCTTACCGATAATGTCTCCGATGGTCCGACCGTTGGTGTACCGGCCAGTGGGGTTCCCGCCGGAGGCCTTGAAGTCAATTCCATTGGGTTGGATATTAGCCCTGGATAGAGTCGGCAAGTAGTTGTTATTCCCGCAATCCACCAAAGAATCACCGAAAATGAAGGAAGCTCCCAAGCCCAGATCATCTGCGCCCTCGACCCCAAATAAGCCTAAGTTGAAAAGGAAGAAGCCGACAGCCAGAATAAGCTTTTCCATGGCCGGAGCTTCTGGGGAGAACTCCTCTGCTTAAAGGCGTTGATTGATGACACGTATATAAATGTAAGATAGAAGCGGGTGGGATGACTTGTGGGCTTAATTGCTTTTTTTTCCTAATTAAGTTGCATTTGGTTTGACGACGACTGTGTGCAGGAGAGACTAAAAAGCTACAAGTAGACACGGGTTTGAGGGGGTAGTTCATCAACACCTGTGTTTCGTCTCAACAATTGCCATGGACGGGCGAAGATTGCTTGTTGAAGTTAGCAGAGTCCTCCACGTGAAGTCAAAGATCCGGCCCCTCAATTTAATACGCATAATTAAATAATATTGTTTTATTCAAAAATAAATTTAAATAATGAAATTGAGTCTCGCGTATGAATGTTCCAGTTCTATGCCGGCAAGAATTTAGGTGCTGTTTGGTTTAGAAGTTGATAGTCCTTTTTTTTTCACAAAATCTGGTTTTGCTACGTCCTCCTGATATGTACGTCCTGTAACTCCAATTAAAAATTAGGAAAATTAAGGGTGCATTTGAATAATTTTTTTTTACAAGTAATTTTTGTAGAAAAATTATAAAAATAAAAACTATGTTGTATATTTATACTATTTGAATAAGAATATAAAAATTAATCTTTTATAATATAAAACAGAAGCGAATTAATCTTTGAAATATGATGGGTTTGTGAATTTTTATTTTAGAATTAAATATAGTTTTGCCTATCAAATTTCATATATTTTTATTAAAAAAATCCAGGTAGACCCTCAAATTTGAAATGAAATTTGAATCAATCTTGTAAAGAATGATGATTGAAGTTATTTTAGGAAATGAATCTACGTTTACATTCAAAATTAAAATTTATCAGAGAAAATCAGAATATGTTCTTCAATAAACAGAGGTCTGAAAAATTATCACTAACACCCATCTCCACCCAGTTATTAAAGGATTGGAATTTGGGTAGAATCGGTCAGAATGATTCTAAATTCTGAGTTTGTTGTACTAAAGTCAATTAAAATAACTCAAATGCGTTGATATGCCATCTAGTTTAATACCATTTAATTTATGGCAAAATTTTAGACAGCAACATTACTATAAGGGGTAATTATGTAAAATTATTTTTCTTTTGAAATGAAGTGAACTGTTCATGTCAGTATTGGACGATGTAGGATAATATAAATTGCATTATCTTAATAGTGTCCTCTTATCCCCTGAATTATATTTTTTTTTTAGAAACGTATGACCTCATAGTCATAGATGACTTGAAATTAAATTCAGTTCTGTGTCAGATCATTAGAGCTATTAGTGATCCGAATGCCGAAACGGTCCGAGCGGAACATGTCCACCCGACCCGTTTTCCAGCTATATCGCGGGGGCATTACTGTCATTTGAACAGATCCCAAGTCGAATTTCCCACGCTTCGAGCGCCCAAGCCGACACAGAACCTTGCTGGATTCCATATCCCACAATCGACCGTTACTGGGAAGTGAGAGCGGCATAGAGAGAGAGAGAGAGAGAGAGAGAGAGCAGAATGGTGGCGCTGAGTGGCAAAGATCAAACCCTAGCGATCCCTGCAAACAGCCTAATCGACTACGATGGCAGAAGTCACAGTAAAGAAAGCCCGAAGGTCTCTGGTTACGAACAGTTCAGAGAAGAGAGGATCAAAGCGAACCTCGAGCGAATGCAGCAGCTTGGCATTGTTGATCTCTCCCTCAAACTCAAGTCCATCAAGCCCCACGGAACATCAACTCTAGCAATCGCAAATCTCTCAGCTGTACCTCTCCATTGCTGCTTTCCGGACCCCCTCGCCGTTCTTCCAGGTGCCCTATTCATGGGTTTTTAGAGAGATTACTGGTGTGCTGATGACTGATTTCATGCCGAACATATTATTAGCAAAATGTATATCCGTACTAGATTGTTTCTTCATCGATCAGTCCTTTATGCTATATGGGTTTTTTCTGATATCCAGGATGTACGGGTGACTGATTTGACGCCAAACGGATAACAATCTAAATGTGTATCTGACAGTGTTTTAGAGTGTTTCTTAGTTGGTTAGTTCTCAATGCTGCATCGGCTTTTCTAATATTATGGATATGCTGCTGACTGATTTGATGCGAAACATATAGCAAGCAAAATGTGTATCTGACAGTGTTTTATAGTGTTTTTTGGAGGGTGTTTGGTTGCTTGCCGTTTGAGCTTATATGTTTGCTGAGGCTAAAAACTAAAAAAGAAGCTTGCCACAGCCATGGTTTTACAGATTCTAGGGTTTAACCCCAAAAGCTAAGCTATGAAATCCTTGTGTGGGGCTTTCATGGCCCAAAAAGCCAGGGGACTGAACACACCCTTTCAATCAGTTAGCCTTTAGTGCTACATGGATCCTTTTATTTATTGAGCATACTATCAAGGTTTTGAGAACTTGTAAGGTTCTGTTTATATGTTAGTTTCTTGTTAAGCATGACAAGATTTTTGGGATTTTCGCAATTGTTCAGTTGTTTTTGGTTGGCATTATGTATTTTGCATTTTAGACTAAGAATTGGACCTTCAGCTTTCAATATTATATCATACACATGAACTGAGGGATTTGTTTATTTCCTATTTGTTGTTTGGCTTCAATTTAGATTGCAGAATGTGACGTCAATTAGCTACTGTGAAGTGCGTAGTGGGAAAGGGACAAATCTTCAGAAACTACACATGATTTGCTAAGAGAAGAAGGTGCAAAGCCGGAAGTTTACACAGATGAACATGAGAAGCTGTTGGGTAACACCAAAATGACTTGGACACTCTTTGTTGATGGTTATGGGAAGGATGGCAAGAGAATATATGATCAAATTAAAGGCAAGACTTGTCACCAATGCAGGTCTGAATTTTTCTCTGTAGATCCACTAAAGATCATTAGATTAGATTTGCTATGTTTCTAACTCAGAAGTATGGAACATGGGCATGCACACATCAATACAACAACTTCGAAAAAATATGATACTAATGTGGTGGGAATATGGCTAACAGATATTAATGTTATATTATATATACTAATCATATTATAACTATGATGTTCATAAATAATCTAAAATAAATTAAAATAACATTAATATCAAACATTAAGGTTAATCCATTTAAGACTAAACACTAATCAAATACCAGTATATATTTATGACATTTAATTCATTTGGTTATTGCCTAATATGTTTATATAAATCAGGTCTGCAATTTAAGATATCATATGTATGTGTCTTGGTATGTCCATGAAGTATTAGACATGGATATGTCCCAAAAAATGGCACTTTTGTGCTTCCTTGCTTTCAAAAATAGGCCACAAAACAAGGAACCTGATGTTTTGCACTACTTCCAAATTGTAACTGATCATGCATACAGCACAGCTATAGAGAGGATTTTTAGTCACTCTTGGAAACAAATGGTTAGAAAATTGAGCTGCAGTTGCTTGTTTTCTCATTACTCAATCTATCATTGAAACTTCTATCTTAGAATTTATAACGGCCATGCAACCTATACTTCTGTTTTTAGAATTTATTCCAGCCATGCAGCCTATATTTCTGTCGTCCTCAATACAAATGTGCATGCATGTATATATAAATACGTGCATGCAACATTTATATTCATGCTTAATATTATAGTATCAATGCTTAGAGCTCATTTCTAAACCAAGTTTTGGTCCATTTTGCTTGGCAAACATTGATGGATGACTGGTGTTGTTTCCTTCTATACTTGTTTATTTTTTCTTTTTGTATATTGATGTATTTGCTTTCTTAATAAACTAGATATTGGTTTTCTCATTCATCTCAGGCATTTAATTTATACTTCTGATTCTCTTTTGATTGAAGACCATTACAAATATTAAAATTTGGATGTTTATGAAATGGTCATGTTATTCTGCAGGCAGAAAACCCTAGGTCATCGAACACATTGCAGCCAATGTGGCATGGTCCAGGGACAGTTTTGTGGGGATTGTTTGTATATGAGGTATGTGTTCTGGAAATTAACAATTATCTCCAAATATCTTATTAAATAATGTTTGCCTATGATATTATAGGCAGTGTTGGACATTGTAAAGGATTAGCTAAAGAAGGGATTACTGTAAGAGGATTATCATAAAATTTGTAGTGCAGGATATCTGTGCTTTTAACTAGAAACTCAGAACCTTGTTGGCTTTAGTGATTGCATGCTTCTCTTCTTTGTATTGGTGACTAGTAATAATGCCTTTGTCCCAGTATGCCTCTGTCCTTTTATTGTTTTCATGGGCACCTTGCTATGTCAAGATTACACTAGCAAGGCTTTCACAATTTGTTGTTAAATTCCATTTTTTTGTAAGAACTTATTCTTTTGATCTATCTGAGTACTTTTGATCAAAAAATCAATCTGATTTGTTTCATACTCCTCGCTTAATGAGAAAATTAGTCAAAATCTACACGATCAAACCTATGGGACTTAAGGAATTTTATAAAAAAAAAAAAAAGAGAGGGAAAAAATAAGTAATTAGTATAGTAAGTAAATAAATAAAATAAAAATGAAGTAGAAGAACCCAGGTTCCAAATGAAACAAATTCAGAATGAGTTGTAGACATGAAAGCTAAATAACTCAAAAGAATTTAACGGGATTTCTTTGTGTGATTCAAAGAGGAAGACAATGTTGAGTTCTTAATAAAAATCAGTTTCTTATGAGTGGGTTCTATCTTGATTACCTACTTATAGGATGTATAGATAGTTTAAGTTAGTCTGTTATGCACACAGACACACACACACATATGCTGATCAGGGTTTGCTAGGAATGAATTTCTTTCTCTCCAAAAGGGAGTTTTCTTCAGTAGTTATACTTCATTAAAGGCTTTGTTTTATATAGTCTTCCTACTGAGTTACAGCAGAAGCCATAAGGAAGGTTTAGATTCATTAAATCTTATATGGGTTTTATGATAAAATATGATGCTTTTGTAATTGTAATAATATCAAGTTTTAGTCTTTTTAAACCTTGTGAGAGATAGGTATATCTGCCTGGAAAAATTTTGCTGCCTCACTCATTTTGGGAATCTGTATTGGTACTCTTTTTAAAATTTTCCAAGTGTTTTTGTAATTGAAAAAAATCTCCAGAAAGTGGTTCCCGGCCTCTGCAACTTGGTAGGTTTTTTTTTTTTTTTTTTTTTTGGTCCCTTCATTTGTTTAGAGCGCTTGAGATTACACACCTGTTCAGTTATGAAAGCCTTGCACTGCATATTTGTGTTGATTTACAAGCTCTTTGCGAGCAGTATATTTTGATCTGCTTAGTATTATGGACAGGCAATAGCTGTTTGTAAAAGTTGTAAATTTTGTAATATTTTCTTCTTATTTCAGATATGGGGAAAACGTGCTTGAAGCCAATCAAAATCCAAACTGGATTTGTCCTGTTTGTCGTGGAATTTGTAACTGCAGCTTGTGCCGGCAAGCAAAAGGATGGGCTCCCACTGGCCCTTTATATAAGAAGGTAATCTACGCTAACTCTACCAAAATATCTTTCCATACTTTCAAGTGGTGTAAATGGATCTAAGCTGAATATATGCACTTTCTAGATTTCTCAACTAGGCTTCAAGTCAGTTGCACATTATCTCATCCAAACCAGACGTTCGCAGAATGGTTCAGAAGAAGTTTATGATTCTAACATTCCACTTTCTGCAAAAAGATCACTGGCCTCCTTAGATACAGAACCAAAATTAGAGAGGAAAGAGTCTCTATCTCAAATAATTACTGTTGTGAGCATATTAAATGTGAAGAGAAGGAGGTCAATGAGGATCATATACTCAATTCTGATTCCAGCAACTACCTCAAAGCATTATCAAGACTGTATCTGTAGACAACAAAACAACAGATAAGTTAGAATTTAAGGAAGCTGCAGAAAACATTGTTGCTTCTGGAAGCACACCGAAGTCAAAAAGGAAGCTGCATTATACTTCTGAACCAAACACAGATACTATTGCCGGGAGATAAGGCAGAGGCGTCGAATGGCAATGGAATCCTTGAACAGAATGGAATGCTTGCAAGTTTGGGTTCAAAAGATACAGAGAGTATTGCTGGAAGGTTGAGGCTTCGGCGGAGAACATGAAGTGTTTGCATTGACTTTTTAGCAGTAGGTTATGCTTGGAGACTTGCGTTTAAAGTTAGTAGAACCATTTTGAATTTGTTACTAGTCTGTGTTTTCGAGGTTTTTGCTGTGCCATGTAGCATTTGGGCTCTGTTCCGTTAACTATTTACCTCATGCTGAGATATCTTTCAGGACAGGATTTGCGTTGTGTAATGTACTGTGATCTCGAAGAAGTAACATTTCCAAAATCCATCTTGTAAGTTGATATAAAAGCACTCTCCGACAGAGGATATCACTGTTGCGGAGACAAACGAGAGCACTTGGATATTATGGCCTGCTGCTCTCTAGATTTCTGGATATCTCATACTCGTAGCAGATAACACTGAAAAAACTATACTCCTATACATTCCATTTTCATTTTATCAAAAATTGTTCTTGAACAGCATTTTTATTCTCTGAAGTACCATATTATCTAAAATTGTTTCGGGAACAGTTTCAAGTATAATTCATCAAAGGCATACCCGGTTTAATTTTTCACCTTTTGTTTTAAAATTAGAAAACTGTTATTGAAAAACAGTACTAAACATATCGTTTTTATTTTTAGAAAAAGACTGAATTACCAAACAAGTCTCAACGTGATTTATCAGAAGGGCTTGGTAAGGTAATTTTTGTTCCTATCGTGCACATGGGACATAACGATGGCAAAAATTTATTTCGTTTGCTATTCAGCAGGTGTTGAATTTGGACGACTTGGTCTCCTGGACTCGGCCAAAGTGGGCCGGACCCATTAGGCCCTGCTCGGCCCATTTTGTTCTACTCATAGTTCATAAGCCCTCTTCAGATCGGCAAGCTGACAATTTATTATTTACCGCTTATTTCGCGAGGCACTTTTTGTTTTAAAGGAGAAAATGAGATGATCCTCTTCAGAGAATGTGAAAGCCACAAAGAACAAGTCCAAGTCAAAAGATGAGAAGGCGGCCCTCCCAACTTTAACAATGGGAATCATGAAAAGCTATCATGAAAGAGAGTTATTCAAGCTAGGGTGTTTGGTCATCCAGCTGCTACTAATTGATGAGGGTATAAATGGTTTTTCAATAATATATCTATTTATATTAAACAATATTAGAATGTATCTCTATCAAAAATAAGGGATCCTTAAACTTCATTCTCTACCTTATTTACTCTTTTTAATTATTCACTCTATTATTTATTCTTTTAAAATTAACATCTGTAAGTTAGCCTTATATTTATTATTTAAACTTTCAAGTTAATTATTCTAAAATACTTAAATTATTTTTTATAATTAAGAAATAAATAGTTTTTAAATATATTTAATTAATAGTTTAATAATTATTAATTATTTTAAAATGTTTAATTATTTTTATTTTTATTAGGATATGAAAATAATATAAATTAATTTTATAAAATTTAGTCATATTTTAATTTAATATCTGAAATTAATTATATTTAATAATATTTTATTATCAATTATAAAACAATTTACTAATAAAAATAATTAACTTGAAAATTCAAAAAAAAATATAATAGCTAATTTAACGATGTTAATTTCAATGAGTTAAATGATAAAAATGAATAGTTCAAGAAATAAATAAAATGGTGTAATAACCTAAAATTTAAATTAGGGGTTGAAATTATTTAATTATTTAATTATTTTTGCTGGTTAAGGGTGTTAGTGAACTAATTAAAAGTTAGGGGTTGCTTTGTGAAAATTCGAAAAAGACTGGGGACTAATCTCGAAA